CATGATCTTCGGTACCCACTCTTCATCACACAGAATTCTCATCTAAATTTTATGGGGATCCCAGACCCAAGCTAGGAGTGCGTACCTCCCGTCTCAAAGGTCCTCGGAATCCGGTCGACCGACGCTTCCGAGCCACGGGAGCCACAAAACTCGGACAAACCCCGTGATAGTCGTCGTACGACCTAGTCGGTGGAATTCCGAGACGGCACCCCACACTGCTACCTGCACGACTCCTGACTTTTCCCTGTGTTTTTTATATCTGTTGTAATTTATTGTCTTTTATTGTGATTGTAGTAATGTGTTTTTATTACATGTACTGTAGTGTACAGAACTTTAGCTCGACCAAAGATCGCTTTTAAATGTACTTTATAAATAAAACTTGATTTGATTTGAAATGTAAATATGCCGGATTTTAGCTTTGAGCTAATTTCCATCCGTAGTCCCTCACATACAACATTTAAGAACATGACATTTATATACATAACAAAGATAAATACATGATATGCAGAAAGAACATGAGCAGCATACAAGCATTTTCCACATGGCGGTAAAATATAGCAGCAACGACATGTAAAGTGCAAGAGGAGATACCCCTGTGTTAAAGTGCATTTAGCAGTGATCGCACGTCTGTTTGTTCCTGAACCATTCTTTGAGTTGACCTTTAAAACTATTGAGAGTGGGACAATCCCGTATCTCAGTTGGGAGGCTATTCCACAATGAGCTGCCTTTAATGGAGAGGACGTTTTGTCCAAAAGTGGTCCGTCTACGGTGGACTTCAGTCTCCTCTGGTGTCTGACCTAGTGCTGCGTCTAGTGTGTTTTTTGTGGATGAATTCCCCTAAGGGAGGGAGGGGGGGGGGGTCCAGTCCATGTAAACATTTATTTTTGAAAATACATACTTTTAAAAGACTTAATCTGAGCTCTCCTTCTATCTGGGTCTTTGCACTGCATTCTAACATTTGTCAGTTCCTGTAAACTAGGACTAGTTTAAGGAATGTGATTCTATTGTAATCATATGATGCGTCTTTTCTTCTCTGACCCCCTGTGTTAAAGAGAGGGGGGTCCTTTGCATAACAGAAG